CCGTACGTGCTTAAAATATGAAAAAAAGGGAAGAAGTTCTTAGCTATAAAACTGCATATATTTATCTGAACAGAAAGTAGGCCAGGATTACAACTTAGTAGTAAAAATAGTGCCTTGCATCATTACAGTTAAAGTTACCTTGAATTAAATTACTGACTTCCTTAAAATCCAAAGTACAATGCCAAGGGATTTGTATTTAGGGAGGCTTACCGACATCGACACCGCTGTCCTCCATTTCTTTCCGGTGTTTTAAGTACATGGGCCAGACGTGTCCATCAAAGAGACCCGGTGGGTCAGGAACAGTGTAGTTACGTGTACTGCAAATATCAAAACGGAAAAGAACATCAGAACTACCAGGATCGCATTGCCTCTTGCGCACTGCTAAGGCCTGAAGTTAATCTGACAGCTGCTCAGTTGCACTTATGTAAAAGCTGATCGTCACAGTCCAATTTCTCATCGAAACTGGTCGGTGTTTTGCAAGAAGTTTGTTTAAGCACCCAAAGTGAATGCAGAAGCGACAGGCAGCCGATGAAGGCAAAGCAGGCAGCCTCTGAGGGTTTACCGATGCTCACGGGGGGAGCATGCAACGACTCTGTTCCTTTTGCACCGATGTGCTGATCTTCATACCCCCTCCCCCGCAAAGGGGACTACCAGATCTAAAGTTTCAGAAAACGCCACGTGAAAGCCTTTCTCCAACTAAATGAAAATGTTAAACTGTCACTCCAATTTGCAGGTGACACCAATGTATCCCATTAATAGCGACATAAAGGCAGCCTGAAGGCTTGCCTCTAGTAGAGTCTCAATTGGAAGGAAGGATCAGACTTACGTCAAAGAATCTTCTTACCTTCTCCTCCTTTTGCATTCATCGTATGGAACTGCCAGGTAGTAGCGTATGTCGAATAAATCTATCAGTGGTCTAGGGTAGGGTAGAAAGAAAGAACATGTCTTTTTTTTTTCTGGCAGAGAAGTGTTAAATCACCCCCAAAAGCCGTAAAAATCTTTCTGCCTCTCTTGTATCTGTGTCTATTGTAGACAACAGAAGTGTAAGCGTTTTCATTAAGACACAAGCTGATGTACAGTAGGTTTATTAGTAGCCATAAACCAGGGAGAATGCTAGGTTTTGTAGGTCAGAATGGCGTGGCCAGTCCTTTCGCCACCCAAATACCTGCTACTAGTTCCTGCGGAGGATCACACCCCAGGCCTTCCCAGCCCAGTGTCCGAACCCTGACTCTTTCTAGATCGTTTCAAATTCTGCTTGCAGTAGACAGAAGTTGCAATTCATGGATCCGCTATGAACTGACTTATCCAACCGTCTGGCCTGTTGCGCAGCAGCAAGCTGTCAAAATGGGCATGGCACACGGATTTGGTACAAGGCAACTCATCAGCTCACGTTCTTTTCCAGAAATACAGGCAGTTAGCTCTGCAGCGGCAAACCGCCTTGCACTCCTATTAGGCTGAAGAAAATAAAGCCAGAAAAATCCTTAAAGCAAATCTAGTTCGAACCTGGCGGGACTGAGACTTCTAAAAGCCTGCTGAGGGTTGCATAAATGTTTAATATAGTACGAACTGAGCAAGCTCCAGGTCCGTGGCTGAAATACTCCCTCTGGACTAAGGAAAGGCTCCCATTAACAGGCCGGAGCGCTTCGGAGGTATTTATAACCTTCAGGAGAGATATTGAGAGTTACCTCCCTGGGGACAGGCCAAGAACACCAGGCAGTTTGCCAGCACAGTCTCCAGTTGGCCATTCTTGGTATGGATAGTCTGAGGCTGCCATTTTACATTTTCCATTCGGTTTGGAAAGCCGGAATGGTGCTGCTTGTCTTAAGGTACAGCTTATAAACAACTCTGGTTTTGCTAAGTGTCACGCACAGCTTGTTCTCTTGAAAGAGTTTTGTAAGCAAAGCTGTAGTTTGGAGCCAAGAATCTTTTGCTCATGATGTTTATAGCATGCAATTTTCTGAAGTTTATATATTTAGCTATTGGAAGTTTTCTCTCTCTTCACTTCTAGTCTCGTCTCCCCATCTTCCTGCCAAGCATTTTTTTCCCCCCACGTTAAAAAAAACAAAACCAAAACACAGAAGCGGCAAATCTGTGCTCCAATGTACAATTAATTAGTAAGGTCAGTCTAGTCAGTGTTAAACAAGCACGTGTATCATGTGAAAGAACTATTCCTAAATTCCAGGAGAGATTCCAAGAGTGAATGCAGAATGGATTATCTTCTCGTTCTCATCAATGACCTTTTCAGGTCAAGGTTTAGGCACCGTGGTGGGAGGCCCGGAGGGAAGCCTGTGCCTTCACTGCTGGCTCAGTATTTACAAGTTCTGGTCTAAAGCTCCCCATGCCCTAGAGTTCAGGGTGTGCCCTACGTGAAATCTTCCTACGTTACCTTGAGAAAGTCACCTTGTGCACCTCGCCGTTACCAGCTTTTACTGGTAAATTTTACATTTTACATGAGAAATTCTTACGCGTGATAGCTCAGAACAAGGCAGGAAGGGTATATTAGTAAAAAGGAGGTTCCGGCCCTGGCACTAGTGATCTAGTGTTCTTCCCTGGCAAACCGTTAATAGTTCCCCAAACCTTACTTGTAATTATAAAGCAGGAAGCCTTCAATGACCAATATATGGATATCTTTGGAGGCTGGCTCTTTAGAGCCGGGTGTAACATTCACCCCGTGGGAACGGGCAAACTTCACTGGGTTCTCAATCCAGGCACGCACAGTGCTCACCATTGCCTCCATATCCAAGGAGTCCAACACTAGTTAGAAGAAAGGGGGTGGGTGGGAAAAAGGTATACAATCAAATACCACAAACCACATCAGTTTGAAAGTATAATATAGAATGAACTTGTAAAGTTGAAATTACATAAATTTACTATTAAGTCTTTAATAATTAAAAAGAAATACTTAGGAAAAATATACATTACTGCATCCTATAGCGAACACTGCTCTTACCATCCCATTGTTTAAAGCCGTCTTCCCCGACTTCTATTTGATCTTGTGGCTGAAATATAGTGAGCAATAAAACATTGCTGCAAACTCAGCGTGATCAGTTACCTAAGATCCGATCACAACCTGGACGCTACTGCAATACACAACAAAGCAAGTGTTCACTTAACAAAACAATTACAGACCCTAAAACTTAAGTTCCCATCTTTCACCAACCCCAAAAACTTTGAAAAGTTTTCTCAGCTCAGTCAAGCCACTTTGGACAAAGAGTTATAGGTTAATAATTTGATATGGTGTTATTACCCAAAATACTACAGGCCCCTGTTTATAAGTCAACATATAAGACCATAAAATGCAAATACAGTGTTAAGTAACTGCGAAAATTTACATATTCAGCAACAGCTATTTTAACTCCTAACAGCTCCCATAAAAATGCAGGTCAGCATAGCACAACTTTTGATCCCTTAGTTACAGCTTTATTTGCGCTAGCATTTGCGAGCTAAACAGCCTAGTGAGAAGTTACATATCTTTACGGGAAATTCCTCCTCTACTTTAAGGGCTCATATCTGACCAAATTTGTGCATGAGGCTGCTGGCAATGAGGCACTTCCAAATGAGCGTCGCATTCCATTTCGTATGGCACGTGCTCCTGCAAAGGCAGGACAAACCGATGCCGGAGCACCTTGCATGTCAGGGAATGCTGTACAACTACTTCAAGCACGTTGCCACATCTCTTGGACTTCCACGTATGGTGGGGTCCAGCTACGCTGTAATTCCTGTGAAATGGCTGCAGCCTGAAGGGTTTAGTAGCGCAGTTCTGGTGTGACTGCTTCCCCTGCTGCTCTCCCAGGCTTGGTGCAGAAGGCACCCGAGTCAGCACAGGTCTTCTGTATTCATCTTTAACAATCTTTGAATTAGGTTTCTGATTTGGAGCTGTCAAAGCTCCCCCAATACAGCTGTCTGTCTGCATTTAAAGCAGCGTAAGGGTGCTTAAATCCTCACGTATTATTTACAAGCAGCGTTCTTGTTTAAATAAAATCAGGAGGAAAACACAACATGGAGAAAACTATTTGTGCAGAGTACAGTAAATAACCTCTAACTTGGATCAGTAGCTTGACCTGAAGTTAGACCTGTTGTCAAAACTGAAGGAAGCTTTTGCTGCAACTGTTCTGTTCTCGGCTGTGCCAAGCTCCACTTCTGTGGACACTGGCAGATACCGACATTTGTAAAGGTCATTATCTCCTCACCTGCCCAAAGTACTTAAAAAAATTAAATATGTTAGAAAAAAATAAATAAATCAGAAAATGGGTTGCTCCTACGCTGTCAAAACTTACTTGAAAAGCATGCACAAGTATATAAAACTTACGGGGGACCCTACTACAACTATCACTGCATAGACAAGCAGCAGTTGATATGTTAAGCAAGGCAGGGGAGCTCCGCTTACCTTGAAGAAGTCATCCTGATGGACCACGCAGCAGTTGGGGAGCGCCTTGATGACTCTGTTGGTCAAGGTGGTTTT